ACTTGTCTGAAGGAAATAGTTTTATTTCGGAACCACTCTAGCAATTTAACAAAATAGTGGAATTCCTACTGTGACATGCATATTTATTTTGTAAAAACATTTCCTTTCTCCATTTGAACTGTACACGTTTACCTAACAACAAAATTATTTTCATTTACCTGTGTTTAAAGTAATTGCAAATGGCTGATATTTTTGTTCAAGCATATTGTTTTTCTTAAATTGTTTAACATTTCACAGCGGTATAACATGTTACTTTAATTATTCTTCCCTTAGTTTATTTATTTTGTATTTACATTGTATCATAGATCAAATTTATTTGTTCAGTGTATGTTCACTGGTGTTAATATGTCTTTTGATTGAGTTAAGCCATTTCAACTGATATTTTATAGTGTGTCTTTCTATGTTGTGATGTTACACTATTGTTTCAGATAAGGGTGAAGGTTTGGTACCATTAAAACGTTTAAACCTGCTGCAATTGTTTGCACCTGTCCTAAGTCAGGAATCTGATGTTCAGTAGTTGTCGTCTGTTGATGTGGTTTATAAGTGTTTCTCGTTTTTTATATAGATTAGACCGTTGGTTTTCCCGTTTGAATGGTTTTACACTAGTAATTTTTGGGGCCCTTTATAGCTTGCTGTTCGGTGTGAGCCAAGGCTCCGTGTTGAAGACCGTACTTTGACCTATAATGGTTTACTTTTATAAATTTTGACTTGGATGGAGAGTTGTCTCATTGGCACTCATACCACATCTTCTTATATCTATATATGGTCCTAAATATATAAAACCCTACATATAGATACTGCTTAATACTGATTTTCCGTATTGTTAAATAAGCACAAATAAAAAAGGGAGATATCAAAACATGAGGATTATGAGAAGAAAATTGAACGGAAAGTTGGTTGAATTCAATCTGTTTGTTTGTTTTACTCTTTAAAACAGAACAATCTTAAGAATCTGAGTTGTACCTTAATATAAAGCACAAAATAGTTGACGTCAGAGTCTTGGAGGGAGTCACTGGAAAAATCTACAGATTGCTTGACAGCAATCATATCCCAAAAATAGATCAGAAGTGGCAATTGTTAGAAGCAGCTTTTAATTAACTAAATCAATTGTAATATATATATCTTATTATATCATTATGACTCGTTCTAACTTACAAGTGTTACTTAATTTTTATAATTTGTGTCTAATATTGTAGAATGTAATTTCACATGTTTCATCAGAGCCTGTGTCGCTCACCTAGGTCTATGAGCATTTTCAACAATGGACTCTCTCCAGCACTGTGGACTAGAATAGAACACATGACAAAAATCTTTATTTTTTTGTTGATCTTGTATTGCTGATAATTTTTCTGTTTACACTTTCTCTCTATTTTCTTTAGTTTTTGCCCAAAACACAAAAAACAGGTGGGGTCATCGGACACATTTTTCAAATTAAAGAACCTTTGTGAGCACACTCACATACTTCACGCCCCCACATTGTCACTGGACAAACAAAATCTAACCAGATTCCTAAGTTCAAAGACTCATAACTCTACAAAAGTCAACTGATAAAAATTTTCTTGTGGATATGCACATTAACATATTATGTCCTCATTAAACTACAAAGTTACATGAAATTCTGTTGTGTGGTTTCAGAGGAGTTGCGCTTACAAACTGTTGCAGTAGTATATTTAGGCCAAAATTCTAAGTTCAAAGGGGCATAACTCCTAGAAAAAAAAATTCAATAGTAATTTCCTGTAGATATGCACTTCTACATAGTATGTCCTTATTATATACAAAGTTTCATGAAATTCTGCTGTGTGGCGATGACAAACTGTTGCAGTAGTATATTTTGGCCAAAATTCTGAGTTAAAGGGGCATAATTTCTAGAAGAAAAAAAATTGAATCAAAATTTCCTGTTGATATGCACATCTACATAGTATGTCCTTATTATCTACAAAGTTTCATGAAATTCTGTTGTGTGGTTTCAGAGGAGTTGCAATGACAAGAACAGGACTGACGGACTGATGGACGGACGGGTCAAAAACATTATACCCTCCGCAACTTTGTTGCTTGGGGTATAACTAGATACCCGAATGATGATTGCGGTCAAGTTTGGTTAAATTGGGCCCAGTAGTTTCAGAGGAGAAATTTTTTGTAAAAGTTATCGACAGACGACGGATGCCAAGTGATGAGATAAACCTTTTAGGCCAGGTGAGCTAATAAAAAATTACAAACAAAATTTCTTGAAATGATCACAGATAGGTTTCATAGAATGCTGTGCTCATTGCACTATGTTGTCCTCTGGGCCAGGTGAGCTAAAAATTGCAAAACAAGTATGAATATTACATTGCATACATTGAACCAACTACTAGATTAATGGTAAGTGATTCCTTCATTTTTCAGGGAAAAACTTCAAAATTTGATAGAAACTTCAACAAGTTCTATAATTACCCCTTCTAATGACTCATTAAATATGAATAGGATTCCTCACGGATTTAGATATGATACTTTTTATTTTTCAAAATTCTACTTACTGATTATTGAAAATTCGTAAGGGTTCCGCGGAACCCAGTGTCTCGCCTACTTTTGCTGTTAATCGCAGGCTCAACAAAAATGAGGAAAAAAATTAATAAAAATATTCCTTTCTATACTATCTTTTGATTGTAAGTAGCTTCTGTCTAAGTTTGGTAAAAATCCAGGATAGTTTATGAATCTAATAAATGTTTTAAAAACTTTAACTGCAGACTGTATGTAATGTTAACTGGAAGAAAAACTAAGTCCATTTATAAGTAAAATACGGAAAAAATGGAACAACATTTTAACAAAATTTCCTTCTAGATACTAGCTTTTAATCATAAACAAGCTTCTGTCCAAGTTTGGTACAAATCCAGGATAGTTTAAGAAAGTTGTTAAAATTTTAAAAACTTTAACCACAGAGTGAATGTAATGTTAACTGGCAGAAAAACTAAGTCCATTTATAAGTAAAATACCGAAAAAATGGAATTTTTTTTACAAAATTTACTTCTGGATACTATCTTATGATCATAAACAAGCTTCTTTCCAAGTTTGGTAGAAATCCAGGATAGTTTAAGAAAGTTATTAAAATTTTAAAAACTTTAACCACAGAGTGAATGTAATGTTTCCTGGCAGAAAAACTAAGTCCATTTATAAGTAAAATACGGAAAAAATGGAATTTTTTTTTTTATAAAATTTACTTTTGAATATTATCTTATGATCATAAACAAGCTTCTGTCCAAGTTTGGTAGAAATCCAGGATAGTTTAAGAAAGTTATTAAAATTTCATAAACTTTAACCACAGAGTGAATATTTGTGGACGCTGCCGCCGACGACAACAATGCCGACGACGGAATGTAGGATCGCTATGTCTCGCTTTTTTCGACAAAAGTCAAAGGCTCGACAAAAATGATAAAATAAAGAGCATATCTGGCAAATGAAATGAATTAAACTCGAAGAGAAGAATGAAATCAAAGTTATTTGTACTACATGTTTATTTCGTATTTACATGTAATGACCTTAGCTTTCCAAGAAGGTCTATTCACTGTTCGTGACATGACCATACATTGTAGCATAGTTAATGAGCTCTGATTTAACAGATGACCAAACAAAGGGTTTTTGCTATTAATCACGTTCAGTAGAGTACTGAAAATGACATGAGACATATTTTATCATTGGTATATATATATAACATGTATATACAGCACAAACAACATTTTCCAAAAGACCAAAAAAAGTGAAAAAGTATATTTTGACAAAAGGCATTTGACTAACAGGTCGAACAACAAATGTTCTTAAACCCTGCTGACTGCCATTTAATACTAAACAGAAAACAATAAACTTGCGGAAAAGATGATATACCGCAAACAAAAGGTGCAAAGATTTTTGTACACCATATCCGGATTTCGACAATTAATGTCTCTTCAGTGATTTTAGGAATCGAAACGGTATTTGGAAAGCCATACAATTTACATCATTTTAGGATAGACTCTTGAATTTTAAGGAGTCAAAATAGGATGAACGGATCATATAAACCTGAAGGCAAATATAAAACAAGCCCAAACGAAAAAATATAAACAAGTCTAAATTGAAAACAACGTTCAAACCTATGATTGCGTTGGATAAAAACCGCAATTTTTATACGTGTGCATGCAAAACAAATTTCTTGTTAGAGGGGTCTAAATATCTTGTTTGAAAAATCATCTTTTCCGCAAGTTTATTGTTTTCTGTTTAGTATTAAATTTATAATTAAGATCCATTTGTTACATCTGTGATCCGTTTATTTGGCCATCGCCAATGGCAGTCAGCAGGGTTTAAGAACATTTGTTGTTCGACCTGTTAGACAAATGCCTTTTGTCAAAATATACTTTTTCACTTTTTTAGTCTTTTGGAAAATGTTGTTTGTGCTGTATTTAGACCCCTCTAACAAGAAATTTGTTTTGGATGCACACGTATAAAAATTGCGGTTTTTATTCAACGCAATCATAGGTTTGAACTTTGTTTTCAATTTAGACTTGTTTATATATAAATATACATATACTGTATAATTACTGCATGTACAGTTTTGACCTCAAAACATGACTTTAGTAGATACTTTCTATCAAAATTTCATTAACAAATAGATAAACAGTATATTTGTTTTTAGATACCATTCAAATTCATTTTGAAAAAGCAATCAAACAACAGTTGGCTGTAACCTAAATATCTGAATGTGCTAAATACAGAGTTTTCACTTTTACTCACAGTTTGTTTAAAATGGTATGTCCAAAATTTGGACAAGGCAACTGGTAAAAAGTCAAATGGAAAGATTTGTTTTGTATGTATGGGATAAGCAAACCTTTCAATTCTTAAGGCTAGACAGCTTTTTTGGGACTACTGTACCAACCAAGATGGCAACATAGAATTTTAATTTGCCCTGTATAAATTTGTTTTTAAATAACAATAAATTTTGGAGCGATATTTGTAAAGAGATCTAGGGATAACAATAACAAAACTTTACATACCATTGTTGGCTCGTTTGTTTCCTTTAAACGCTGGTAGTCATTTAAACTGACACAGAAAACTCTTAGACCATCGTCAGACTCATCATTGCTGTCATCATCATCTTCATTGTCTTCATCATCTTCATTGTTTTCGTCATCTTTATCTAATTCTTTCTTTGCAGACTTTTTCATGTCCTGGTAAAAAAAATGTCAATACATGCAACTACTTTTCACTCTGATATATTCCTAATGGGTTGATGCTAATGAGGACGGGACTGTTAGTCTCTGAGGGGTTGATGCTGATGATGACGGGACTGTTAGTTTCTCAGGCCTCTACAATAACTCTTTTTTCAACTTGCCCAATAGGACAAGTACATACCAAAACTTACTTGTCCGAATGGAATTGTAACTTGTCAAAAAAAAAATCTTAACCTTAACTCTTTTTGCATTTTAATTTGATTCAATGAACAAAATGAATTAAAACAATAAAACAGAATTTGATTTATATCTCTTCATATCCTTTTCAAAAATATGAGTCGAGAACAACTGAATTTAGTCATGTTACAGAACTTAGATTATAGTTTTCATCAATGCCAATGTTTCATCAGACTCTGCACATGAGGCACAGTCTGGTAGGCCTGTCATTTGCACTTGACAAAGTCCAAAGCAGAAGCCATGATCAGTGAATTTATTGCTGGCCTTTTCCTTAATCTTCTGTTTTTTAAGTAATTTATTTACTGTAATAACAGACAAAAAGCCAATTTTTAGATATTATTTGAAAAAGAAATCACCTGATGGTTCATCAATTATAAAAAAAATGGTGTAATTCTCAATTTGATAGACAATTTTATTGCTTACATCCAATTCTTTTGAACTTTGGTGGATAGTTGTCTCATTGGCAATCATACCACATCTCATTATTTTGATACTTTCAGTCTATACTCAGACTGACACTCATTTGGTTTATATCCTGGTCTTTTATGTTGATAAAGTATTGATTATTATGATTAATGCCTTACTAAAATCAGCTTTGTTTTAATATATTAAAATGTTTATTCAACAGCAGTGGCTATTTTGCCGGCTCCAGCAAAATAGGCTCCTTGGCGCTATTTTGATGGCTCTGGCAAAATAGCGATCTTTATAGAGTTTTGCTATTTTGCCAGTCTAAATTAAGATTTCCAGTATATCATGTATATAAGTTAAGAAAAGAAAAAAATATAGAAAAATACAAATATGTCTTCTTCAAAACATTTATACAAAACGTACATATCAAAACTTAATAAGAAGTCTCTAAAAAGAATGTATTTTTTAAAACACTTTAACAAAGCATAAATATTAAAATTGATATTTAAAAAGATATATGTAATACACATTAAACAAAGCATGCAAACCCATGTAAAAAAATCAACATTCTAATTAAAACTTTAAATAAAAATATCCTATTAGTTTTTAAATTAAAAGTAACATTCAACCATCTCAAAATATTTTACAAGTGTTACGAAACCAGTGCCTTGCTTTTGGTGCATTCTTTAGTAATGCACAAGAAAGATGCTGCCACTGCAGACATGAACTGCACATAACACTTGTATCTTTTGCGTCTGCATCACTTTTGCAAAAATTGCAGATATATACTGTAAATTCAGAAATTATTGCGATGTTTTTATTATTGCGAAAAATGCGACAGGGTTATAATCGCAATAATTTAAACTCGCATTTTGAAATTTTTTATTTGAACTTAACAGGATTTTTCTAAATATCGCAAAACTTAAAATCGCATTTTAGTCTAAAATGACAAAATCGCAATAATAAATGCACGCAATAATTTCTGAATTTACAGTAAATTTAATTCAACTTTCATACAATAAATGCTGTCGATAGATTTCCATGAATCTTCTGTTCAATATTTCTTTATTAATCTTATATTAACTAGTTTGTCTAGACATGAACTTGAAACCATTTCAGGGCGAGTTTCTACGTGTTCATCATCTATCACCAGATCGTCATCAACAACTGACTTTGCTATTTCTTTTCCCACAAACCATTCTAATATAATCACGTCAGTCTGTTTAGACGCTTTTTGAAAAATGCTCCAAAATATCCGATTTGTGTATAAATAATTTCAATAAAATTTTTATTTCATGTAGTCTGATAAAAAATCTGAGATTAGAATGGCAAAATAGCAAAACTCTACATAGATAGCTATTTTGCCGGAGCCGGCAAAATAGCACCAAGGAGGCTAATTTGCCGGAGCAGGCAAAAATAGCCACCGCCTTATTCAAATGCAATCAAGTATTGTTTTGTCTACATATGGTCAATAGTTTCTTCATTTTTATTTTAAAAATATTTTTGTTGAAAAAAATTATCATATTGATTATAAAGCAACAGAATAAGGTAGGGAAACGAGGTACTGGTTTGTCTTGGTCCCGAAATGTCTCCTATGGTGCCGAACAGAACTGTCTATTAAACATGGAGCCAATTCGTTTCCGTGCCAGTGCCGAACTGTCTTGTTACCAAAAGCACTTCACTGGTTCCGACTGGTTTCCGAGAATAGTATGCGTTTTAACTGTTATAAAGTATCTGACAAAGAACCAGTTTTGAATTATCGATCGCAAGTAAACATGTCAAATTAATATTTGTTTTTATCTTGTTTTTTGTTTATTACTTTGATCATCAAAGTTTGATTGCATTTATTTTCTACAGAATGATTTAACTTGTCCCGTCGGACAAGCTTGATATGGCTTTTACTTGTCCGACCTTTTTTTGCTCTGGTACCGGACAATCGGACAAGCGTTATTGTCGAGCCCTGGTTTCTGAGGGGTTTATGCTGATGATGACAGGACTGTTAGTCTCTGAGGATGCAACCAGCTGATGGTATCATTCTCACAAAAGTTAGTGTATTGGAATTCGCCAAAAATATTTATTGATTGGTTTTCTTTATATAATGTATCAAATTACCTTCACTTAAGGTGTCTTTTTCTGAGCAACCCTTCTGGGCAAAAATACTATTTTGGATTAAAAATATATTACCAAGTATCATTCAATATACACCAGAAACATCTAAAACATGAAATTTAAAGATAAACTATCAAATAATTAAGTGACGTTAAGTGTATTAAAAATTTTCAGAAAAATAAACTGTTAACACAGAGATATGTCTCACCTTTTTGTAATTTTGATAATGCAAATGTTGAAATTAAAATAGCAATACTTTAACATGCAAGTTATGCAAATATTCAAAGTCAATGAACCTTGACTGAAGGTACATGGCTAAACAATCTCCATGGAAATGACATGTGCCAGTGCTAAAAAAACTGCATACCAAATACCATTGACTTATCATAAGTCATTCCCTTTAAACAAACCTAAACACAAACATTAACTTGTAAACTATGTAAAAGTTTCAAAGTCAATGAACCATGATGAGGGGGTAGGGCTATATAATCTCCATGTAAACGAGACTTGCAAATGCCAATAAATTTGCATACAAAATATCATTGACTTAACATTAGCAGTTCATCTTAAACTGATCTAATCACAAACTAATACATATGTGAACTAAGCAAAAGTTTCAAAGTCAATAGACCATGACTGAGGGGGCGGGGCCAAATATTCTCCATGGAAATGATATGTGCTAATGCTTATACAACTGCATACCAATTAACATTGGCCTACCACTAATGGTTCCCCTTGAACTGACCTAATCACAAACTAGTACATGTAAACTAAGCAAAAAATTCAAAGTCAATAGACCATAACTGAGGGGGCAGAGCTAAAAAATCTCCATGGAAATGAGATATGCCAATGCTTATACAACTGCATACCAAATATCATTGACCTACCAATAGTGGTTCCCCATAAACTGACCTAATCACAAACTAATACATGTAAACTAAGCAAAAGTTTCAAAGTCAATAGACCATGACTGAGGGGCCAGGGCCAAATAATCTCCATGGATATGAGATGTGCCAATGCTAATACAACTGCATACCTAATATCATTGACCTACCACTAGTGTTTCACCATAAATTAGACCTAATCACAAACTAATACATTGTTGACACCGCTGCCGCTGGAAACAGCATACCTATGTCTCGCTTTTTGACTCCATCAATGGCGAGACAAAAATCCTTTAAAATCAAGGGCAGATAATTATATTGAATTTGATAGGGAAATTTGTGTTTTTTGGATATTTCAAGAAAATAAGGCCTGTTACCCCTCCCCCCTTTTCATTTGCTATATCAGAAGTATCTATGAAAAGCAATTTCGTTGAATTTTAACATATTCTATCGTTTAATGTTTCCTCAATAAGGAAAAAGTAAGTTCCCCACATGTAAACCCTATCAAATAACTGCAATTTTGTTAATTCCAATGCATTTCAACAAAAAAACAAGGTCTGTGACCCCCAGTTTTTATATTAAAATTTAAAAGTGCATTGACCCACAAGACTTTTACAGAAGATTAAGAAAAATCTATCGTCGAACATTTAGACACCCTTAATTCCTTTATATCCATAATAATATTTTCAATGCCCAAAAAATTACATTTTTTAAAAATTTCAAAACTGTTCTATTTTTTAATCTCTGTTATCTAAAAATAATGTCTGTGACCTATATATTTTTCAGTAATTTCAACCAGGAATATAAGAGTTATGACATAATTTGAAAACAAGAGTGCATACTTATCATTGATTTCATGTTGAAAGTCTGTTATATGAAGGTTTCACTACCAGTATCACATAAACTTAGCATTATCAATGTTCTATAAAATGAGATAACAGTCTGATGAACCATGCCAGACAGACATGTACACATTACAATCAGTCCATACATCAAATATAGTGGTCCTTTCACTAATAGTACCTGAGAAACAGATTAAACCACAAAATCTTAACATTGACCAAAGAACCATGAAATATTAAGATTTAAAGTAATAAAAGAACAGAGTTCCAATGTCCCCCGCATTGCACATATATATCTATCCAAGGGCAATACTAAATAAAATGCTCCGCTGGGTGCAGCTTGATACGACCACAGATGTCGAACCCTGAACAGTTGGGGCAAGTATGGACACAACATTCAAGCTTGATACAGCTCTGAATTTGGATTGTGATTAAATATTTGACACAGCATAGGTTTCTGACACAGAATGAATGTGGTCTAAGAACTTAAAATTTTTTAATTTACCTATTATGGTCC